ACATCTCATCTCAGTATAACTAAATCTAAAATATTGAAATATCACTGCGTAGGAATCATGCTTTATACATACATTCATTATACATCTCCCATTTGCTCCTGCGGGGCATTATTTTGAGAATGTTTCCAGCATGTGATGATAACAAACACACCAGTGAGTCACAGATGGCAGGTTGTTACTGTTACCTAACTGTTAAATAGTTAATGTCCTAACTACGCCATGAATTAAGTAACACAATGCTTTGCTGCTGTCATAAGTTTTGCTCTATTCATTTTTTACACCAATACCAGATGGTAAATTTGTTGGTTGATGTGGTTACTTGTGGAGCAATTAAAATACAATATTTTGAGTGGAAGAGTTTAATTAATTAGCATTGTATCGTTATGATAATTAATAGTATTCAGCTCTAGATTTGTTAACAAACTGACACTGTGCAATAACATACCTGAAATAACTCAAGTTTGATGAGTGCTCATTTGACAGAAATAAGTGATAATTACTATATATCTGAACAACATAATGTAATATCCATTTGATTTGATTTTAAATAAATATGCATCTGAATTAAAAAATGTTTTTAATAGTCCTGGACTAAATGAGTGTCTAGCAATCACAAGACCATAGGAGGCTTTTTTATAGTCTGACACTTTTCAGATAGCATTGCTGAAGCCCACCCATGCTGTAGTTGCCTTTATCCTGATTAAAAAAAGGTGGATTATACTCTTTTCCATCTGTTTTTGCTATCTACCTTCCTTTATCTCCCTCTGTCCGGTACCTTTTTGTCATATCTTAACTGTCCATGTTCTAAGATAATGGAATTAATGTGGGAATTGGAGTGGACAGCGGTGCCTTCACAAGCTCTTGGAGATGTTTGACAATGAGGGGATTATTTTCAGTGTGGTCCTAAAGTCTTCTTTCTCAGGAAAATTGACCCGTGTCATTGGGTTCAATTTAGTCATGGAATAATCAGAGGGTTGGAAATGAAACTGGAAGAAAATGCAGAAATACCACAGACAAAAAGATTTTATATCAATAGGTTTACTTTGAAAACTGGAATATTCACATAAGAAATGGAACATGGAAATTGTAGTGACAAATGTGTTTATTTGAACTTGTATAATCGAAAAAAAAACAAAAAACAAAAAAAAAACAGGCAATTTCAGATTTGAGAATGTGTTTGCAGGTTGTGGATCAAGTGCTTGCAGAAGATTTGTTTCTTAAGGCATTTCTTAAAGATTTTTAGTGACTCCTACATTGAGGAACAGTTAGTGTGAAGGTTCTGGAAAGTGACTCTGTTAATGGGAAAATATGTAAATAATTTTAAAGTAATAAAGCGCTTTCTTGTTCCCAGTTGGCTAATGGCTGTTTGTGACATGTGGTTGTCCTGATAGCTGGAGGTGATAATAATGTCAGATGTTCCTGGAACGTTAGTGTGACATTGCATTGCACTCAGCACATTGTGATGAGCCAGAGGAGCAGTTTCCATTGGTGATAAGGTTTAATCCATGACATAGTTAGCTGAAACATAAAACTAACAATACTGCAGACATCTCATCTCAGTATAACTAAATCTAAAATATTGAAATATCACTGCGTAGGAATCATGCTTTATACATACATTCATTATACATCTCCCATTTGCTCCTGCGGGGCATTATTTTGAGAATGTTTCCAGCATGTGATGATAACAAACACACCAGTGAGTCACAGATGGCAGGTTGTTACTGTTACCTAACTGTTAAATAGTTAATGTCCTAACTACGCCATGAATTAAGTAACACAATGCTTTGCTGCTGTCATAAGTTTTGCTCTATTCATTTTTTACACCAATACCAGATGGTAAATTTGTTGGTTGATGTGGTTACTTGTGGAGCAATTAAAATACAATATTTTGAGTGGAAGAGTTTAATTAATTAGCATTGTATCGTTATGATAATTAATAGTATTCAGCTCTAGATTTGTTAACAAACTGACACTGTGCAATAACATACCTGAAATAACTCAAGTTTGATGAGTGCTCATTTGACAGAAATAAGTGATAATTACTATACAGTGGGTACGGAAAGTATTCAGACCCCCTTCAATTTTTCACTCTTTGTTATATTGCAGCCATTTGCTAAAATCATTTAAGTAAATTTTTTTTCCTCATTAATGTACACACAGCACCCCATATTGACAGAAAAACACAGAATTGTTGACATTTTTGCAGATTTATTAAAAAAGAAAAACTGAAATATCACATGGTCCTAAGTATTCAGACCCTTTGCTCAGTATTTAGTAGAAGCACCCTTTTGATCTAATACAACCATGAGTCTTTTTGGGAAAGATGCAACAAGTTTTTCACACCTGGATTTGGGGATCCTCTGCCATTCCTCCTTGCAGATCCACTCCAGTTCTGTCAGGTTGGATGGTAAACATTGGTGGACAGCCATTTTTAGGTCTCGCCAGAGATGCTCAATTGGGTTTAAGACAGGGCTCTGGCTGGGCCATTCAAGAACAATCACAGAGTTGTTGTGAAGCCACTCCTTCGTTATTTTAGCTGTGTGCTTAGGGTCATTGTCTTGTTGGAAGGTAAACCTTCGGCCCAGTCTGAGGTCCTGAGCACTCTGGAGAAGGTTTTCGTCCAGGATATCCCTGTACTTGGCCGCATTCATCTTTCCCTCGATTGCAACCAGTCATCCTGTCCCTGCAGCTGAAAAACACCCCCACAGCATGATGATGCCACCACCATGCTTCACTGTTGGGACAGGTGATGAGCAGTGCCTGGTTTTCTCCACACATACCGCTTAGAATTAAGGCCAAAAAGTTCTATCTTGGTCTCATCAGACCAGAGAATCTTATTTCTCACCATCTTGGAGTCCTTCAGGTGTTTTTTAGCAAACTCCATGCGGGATTTGACAGAAATAAGTGATAATTACTATATATCTGAACAACATAATGTAATATCCATTTGATTTGATTTTAAATAAATATGCATCTGAATTAAAAAATGTTTTTAATAGTCCTGGACTAAATGAGTGTCTAGCAATCACAAGACCATAGGAGGCTTTTTTATAGTCTGACACTTTTCAGATAGCATTGCTGAAGCCCACCCATGCTGTAGTTGCCTTTATCCTGATTAAAAAAAGGTGGATTATACTCTTTTCCATCTGTTTTTGCTATCTACCTTCCTTTATCTCCCTCTGTCCGGTACCTTTTTGTCATATCTTAACTGTCCATGTTCTAAGATAATGGAATTAATGTGGGAATTGGAGTGGACAGCGGTGCCTTCACAAGCTCTTGGAGATGTTTGACAATGAGGGGATTATTTTCAGTGTGGTCCTAAAGTCTTCTTTCTCAGGAAAATTGACCCGTGTCATTGGGTTCAATTTAGTCATGGAATAATCAGAGGGTTGGAAATGAAACTGGAAGAAAATGCAGAAATACCACAGACAAAAAGATTTTATATCAATAGGTTTACTTTGAAAACTGGAATATTCACATAAGAAATGGAACATGGAAATTGTAGTGACAAGGTTAGGGCACATGTGCAAACCTTTTGTTTAACATATAGAATTAGAAATTCCTACAATTCCTACAAACATGAATATTAGTCATTCAAAATAAGTAGGTGTTAATGTGAACAAAAAGTAGTTATTACATGTAATTATCTCAAGATTGAGCAGTATCAATAGCCACAATGTCTCTTTTTTAAGATCCTGTTGTAACAAACTAGAGAGTTGAGATCAATAAATGCCATGTCTAACTCTTCACCAGTAATTTTATGTGGTTTATAATAGTAACCCAAGAATCCACAGTCAGATAGCAGAGCCAAAGCCACCTTTTATTCAACAAGTTTTCTCTTTCCCTCTCACCCACTCTGAAAGAATGAATGGAAACAATCAGCTTGAAGAGCAGTGGCCAGATAATGGCAACAGACCAGTAACAGAAAACCCTTTACATTATAAACACAGGGACACTATCCAAACTTGAGCTCTGTTCAGAGCTGAGCAGGTTTTGACTGGCCTAATCTGCAGTGTAAATCTGCAGCACTGCCTGTCTAGTCTCTGTCTGGGTTCCATGCTCTCAGACAAAAGCTCCGGACACCTTGCCCACTAACAAAGGGGTCGATGCCACTCTCCGCTAATTGAAGCGGACAAGGCTTGCTGATGGGGCCTTTTTGAGCAATTGAACTTGGTGAATGCTTCTTCGGGATCTGATGAAACACGGACAGTTGGTTTGACTTCAAAAGCAGACTCCAGAAGGCACTGAGAGGAACTGAAGTTCAAAAATGGTCTCATATCCAGGGAATAAAAGATGTAGTTGAATACTTTGGATTAAAAAGACTGCATGCCAAATTAATAAATGTAAATAAAAAACACATTCTGTCACAACTTTTTGCAGTGAAAAGCTGGCCAATAGACCTTATCAATAAAAGTACAAAACATCAACAGCAGTGTAGCCTAAATAAATGACAGAATACTTACTGTTTTGTTGAGAGAAGAGAAATGATTCTACTATAGCCTAGTGCATCAAATTATTAATGTCAGCCTCCTTTTGAAATCCGTTTGTGCCTGATGTATGGTGATACTGTTCAAATAGTTGCTAACCACAAAATACTATTTTTCAATTTAATGACTGGTCTTGTTTCATGTAGCCTAGTTTGTACTAATGCAGCACACGCCACCGACTGCTTTTAATTACCTATGTTGCCACTGGGGGGCGACAAATATAAAAATAATGTGCTGGAAATAACTTCCCAGATAATAATTCAAACAGTTATGATTCAGTAAAAGCAAACAAATTAACAAAACTGTTTTTTTTAACAGTTTTTAAAATGTTTGTTGAAATATTTTGTTTACGATTTTTCATTTAGTTCTGTACATGTATGTATGTATGTATGTATGTATTTATTTATTTACATTAAAAATGCAATCGTAAATTGATTTAAAAATTTGAAAGACGTGCATCCCGCAAATATTTAACCTGGCGCAGCACAAGGGTTCTTCATGAAGTTTGTCCCTCGCGGCACTCTATACGCTTTTGTTTCCATAGCAACTACGGTGGACGCGAATGTACAAACATGAGGTGAACAGAGAAGAAGGATGAAAAGTGTTTGTTAAATACTTATGAGATGCTCTGTCGTCATCATTAGTATTTTTATACCGTTGCAATGACACCGATATAGTTTACTTCAGCTGCAAATTTTTGCCTCTACTGTTGCTTCGCTCACAAATACCCATCGTTTTCCCAGGGCGTTGGTAGATTTGTTCCCGGACTTATAATGATGGATGACATCGAGCAGGCAATAGATGAGGAGCTGATGAAATTAAACCTACATCCTTCTGAAAATGACTCCGAATCAGACGATGACAACTTCACTGTTTTGGATGGAAATGTAAGTGGCAATTTTATTTATTTGTTATTAATTTCTTAAACATCCTCCTATTTTAAATTAAGTCGACTTTTCAACATTTTATTTCAACCCACTTTATTATGAAAGCTTTATATGTAAAACCAGCGTTTCTTGAATTTCTTGAATCTTGAATGGTGAAGAAAAATTTGTTAAAACAAACAATATTTGCATTGAATTTGATAATCTATCCCACTTTTATGACAATGTGATGACATTTATAATTCAAGTAGTTCATCCAAAAATAAATAAATAAATTAAAATGTATGCTTACTTAACACCTATCTGTACATCATTAACAATCACCTCTTTTTTCACAAAAGCTGCATGCAGAAAATGAGCTGCCTGACTCAGTACTCACATATGTTGAAGCTTCAAGAAATCGAATGAATACCTTTGAACAATTAATCCTTGAAGATGTTAAAGAAAAGGGTAAGGACGCATTTTTAAAATTGAACTGATTGAAAGTCTTAATTAAAATGACCTAATATGTTTATTAGAGGCATTGCATTTTGCTCATAGACTTCTCAAGCCAGAACCTGTCTCACCTTAATCACAATGAACCAGCTTCAGATTTCATAGAGGACCCCATGAAGTGGAAAGAGCGAGTGAGTCATGGTTATTTGTTTGCGGTTAAATGGAAATGGTATTCCATCTGAGGCATAACAGAGGAAAGAAGTGTCTGTGTTTTGTCCTTAACTTAACCTTTAAATCAGTTTGTCCATCATAGTAGCAAATTATCTGTTATGTTACCTGTTTGATTTGTGTTCAGTCAATATGAATTTAGACTTTGGATTCTCCCTTAAATTACAGGCTGTAAATTACCCTTATTTACCCTCAGACATGCAGCATAGTCCTCAGATGGTGTTTTTTTTGTCAGGTTATCTCTGAATTAGTGGAACAAGTTGGACATCTAAATGACATTGAGCCACAGAATGCCCAGTGGGAGATTCCAAATATGTCAGGCATGCGGTTAAATGGAAATGGTATTCCATCTGAGGCATAACAGAGGAAAGGAGAAGTGTCTGTGTTTTGTCCTTAACTTAACCTTTAATTCAGTTTGTCCATCATAGTAGCAAATTATCTGTTATGTTACCTGTTTGATTTGTGTTCAGTCAATATGAATTTAGACTTTGGATTCTCCCTTAAATTACAGGCTGTAAATTACCCTTATTTACCCTCAGACATGCAGCATAGTCCTCAGATGGTGTTTTTTTTGTCAGGTTATCTCTGAATTAGTGGAACAAGTTGGACATCTAAATGACATTGAGCCACAGAATGCCCAGTGGGAGATTCCAAATATGTCAGGCATGGAAGGTATATTTTCTGTAATGATGTGTTTAGGTGGACCTGCATTTTAAGTTTATTAATTATTATATTCACAGAATTAAACATTTACTCTGTTTTTAGATGATATATGCCCTGAGAGTGAACTGCAACTTAGTCTTGAGTGGAGAGAATTAGAGAAAAGACTGAGAGAGGAAGAAGAGCAGAAATTAGCAGCACAGGAGGTAGAAAGAGAGCTGCATCAGAACTCAGAAAGAGAAGAAGAAGAGAGGAGGAGGAGAGGACTGATGAAGTTTCAGGAGGAGCTGAAGAAGATAGAGGAGGCCACTTGGGTAAGACTGTCTATAACCCTTTAAAAAAAAATATATATTTTTTTTAAATGAGAAGAAAAGATGATTGAATAACAAAATCGAAATTCACAACAGTTTCAAAATGTTGGAGTGAAAAACGAAGTTCACCACACAGAAGATCTTCAAATGGAGCTGGATAAACAGCAGGTGACTTTAAATATGCATGAGATTGTTGAGGATGTGCTTTTATTACATGTGGCAAAAGTATTAAAAAAAATACAAATCTAAATAAAAAAAAATTATATTTGTATAAAAGTAAATATTTGTCAAGATATGAACTGAGTTGGTATATTATGTAAAAAAACATTTAAACATACAAAAATGAGACAATTTGTTGAATGTACAATGTTAGAAATAGTTTTTGTTTAATGTTGTAAATAAAACAAAGATTACTGGAGTATGTTTTACAAGAAAATACTGTTTTAGTCTTCAGTCAGTAAATAACTCAGTCAGTAATTAATTACTAGCGATTTCTGAGTGAAAATTGTTATCCTACACCAGTAAAGTAAATTCTACGCCATTTTTTCCCCTGTGCATATATGTGTGTGTAAATAATTTATATGCAAGTATAAATGAAATTATTATATTAAAAAAAGTGAAATTTGATTTTAACCTTATACTCCTGTATCTCATAAATGTCTGCTGAAGAAGGTGTACCAATCAAAGTTTTTTGGTTAATTTCAGAACTTAATAAGGAAACTTGAGGAGCAGATGGAGGAGGAGAAACAGGCTTTTGAGAAGGCTCAGGAGGAGGAGAGAAAGAGAACCCAGAAACGTCATTGCATTGCAGCAACAAAGATTCAAGCTGCTCTCAGAGGAACATTAGTGCGCCGCTGGAGCAAAACAGAGCTTAGGAGAAAGAAAGAAGAAGAGAGGAGACATGAGGAGGAGAAGAGGGAATGGGAGAAGATGAAGAAGGAGAGAGAAGAGGAGAGAGAGCGGATCGAGGAAGAAGAGTGCGCTCAGAGGGAGGAGATGGAGAGACGCAGAGCAGATTATGAAAGAGCTAAAGAACAAGAGCGCTACCGTCTGGAGAAGGAGCAAAGACTTGAACAGCAGAAGAGGAAAGAGGAGGAAGATGAGAAAAAGAAGAAAATGCAGAAGAAGGAAAAGCAGAGCAACATTACAAGTGTAAAAGATGATTGCAGAAGACAGGAGGAGGATGTAGACAAGAAGAATAAAGAAAAGGAAAGAAAGAAAGTGGAAAGGAGTAGTCAGGTGAAGGATGAATGTAAAAGAGAGGAGGAAAGAGGGGAAAATGAGAACCTAGACAATGAGGTAAAAATAGAAGCTAATAATGAAAGAATAAGGCACGGGAAGAAAATGGAAAACACATCGGAGGACGACAGGAATACGATGAAAAAACAGGACAAAACTAAAAGCATAAATACAGAAGACACAGAAAGATTAGATGATACAGGACCACAAACAAAAAGTGATGAAGACAGAATAAAGAGCCATAAAGAAGAAAAAACATTTGAAATCAGTGGAGAGCTTGACTCTCAGGTAAATCGCTCACAGTCAAGAAAAAGCCTTAAAGTTACCAAAACCACTACAGAGTCCCACGTAAATGTACATCAAGGTCTCTCCAGTGACCTTGGTATTAGTCCAGTGGGTTCCTCAAGTGTTGCAGATCATCTAAATGTTAAAGCAGTTATTAAAACAGACTTGGCTGTACAAGTTTCTGATTTGGCTGTTGTAGCACCTGAGATGGACACTAGAGGGCATCAAAATACTACAGCTATTGAGCTTGAGGACCATAAACCAAAAAGCCAAGAATCAATTTCAATATGTCTGCCTGACAGCACAGAACAGAAGCGACTGGCCTGGATGATGAACTGCACTCCCTGGTCCAAACTATCATTGCAGAATAAAAGGAAGGGGTCTTCTGCACAGCAGCAGACCCAAAAAAGAGGCCCAAGAAAAAGAAGAGTCCCCAGTTTACCCTCTCTGTCTGTGGACGCTATTCTCAAAACAGGAGCTTGGAGCTCTCTCAAACAGGTAGAAATTAAACTTGAAAGCCCGTTTCTTGCCTGTGACATGTGTCTTATATGTTTATGCTGACTTTATAGTAATTGTGCTGTAAAAAATCAGGTTACAACAGTTATATTGGAAGACCTGCCAGGCTGTAGCCTGTCCACACTGTCCGAGTGTAACAAACTGCAGACTTTGACCCTTAGACGTTGTGGCCTCACAACCTTGGATGGATTGAACCAGTGCACTCAGATCAGATGTATTGATGTACAAGTAAGAAAGAACAAACTGTCCAGTGCAGTCTGCATTATTTTCAAACTTTCTAGTAAAATGATCACTCATTCATTCTATACAGTATACACTACTATTAAAAATTTTAGATGAAAAAAAAATGTTTTTGAAAAAAGTCTCTTATACTCACCAAGGCTGCATTTGTTTTGATCAAAATGTTTTCCATTTTTATATATATTGTTAAATGTAATATATTCCTGTAATGGCAAAGCTGAATTTTCAGCAGCCTTTACTCCAATCTTCAGTGTCACATGATTCTTCAGAAATCCTTTTTATACACTGATTTGGTGCTTAAGAAACATTTCTTCTTATTACCAGTGTTGAAAACTTAATATTTTTGTGGAAACTGTGATACATTTTTTCAGGATTCTTTGATGAATAGAAAGTTAAAAAGAGCAGCATTTATTTAAAATAGAAATAATTTGTAACATTATGAATGTCTGCACTTTCACTTTTGATCAATTTAATGCATCCTTGCTAAATAAAAGTATCGATTTTTTAAAGAAAAATCTTACAGACCGTAGACTTTTGATCTGTAGTGTATATACACCATTGTTTCTCATATTAAGGAGAACTCAATTACGTATGTGGATTGTGGAGGTCTGGCCAGCCTTCAGGTCCTCCTGCTGGGCATGAACCAACTGATGTCCATCCATGGTCTTGATGGAGCCGAAAAGCTGCAAATTCTACAGCTCTCACACAACAACATCTCTCGCATCAGTGAGTATCTTCACTAGAAGTGTTTATTAACTCTGTTGTATGTATTTTTCATTGAAAGCACTCAAGAAAGAGATGCTGACGTTGGTCAGTTGAAGATATCTAGATCTTATGTGTGACAGAATTAGTATTTAATTAATGCTTAGCATTGTCATTGTCCAGTAGAGGGCACCATTGTTCCAGTTTGGTGTCTTCAAATGGCCTTTTGCCCTCACTCTTGCCTTAAAATATGTCTTAATGTGTCTCATTTCTAAGAAAATGGCCTCATATTGAATAAATATGAATAAATGTATCATAAAGAATAGGATAAAGGCAGTTTAAAGGTATTTGCTGTCAGTGTCCTGCCAGTGCTGCCTTTTTATATTAGATTATCCTTTGGCTGGTATTAGATATTGTCACCATGGCTTAGAATTATCCTCATACACTCCTTCTACACCAGCATTGACTAAATGATATATCTTTGCTTTCTTAGGTGGTTTAGGAACCCTGAAAATGCTTCTGCGATTATCAGTGGACCATAACCAGCTGCTCAGCACAAGAGGTTTGAATGAAATTTATACCCTTCTCCATCTGGACTGTTCGTACAACCACCTAAGCCACGTTGAGGGTTTGGAGAATTGTGCTCTGCTTAACACACTAGACCTCAGAGGAAACAGTCTGAAGCGCATCCGTTAGTCTGCAATCCTGGCCTGCCATCAGTTTAATTGAATTATTGCTATATGCTATTACATTTGGATATTAGTCATGTTTGTGATAAGGCATGAGTTTCCACCCGTTTCAGCTCGTGGGACATTCATGGTTGGAAGTTGGAACAGAAGGAATGACTTTCTGTGTGATCACCTGGTCAAGGGAATTGTTGTTGTTTTTTGTTTCCGGCCTATGGTATAGCTGCCTGTTCTGCAGAACCATGTTCTTCTGAGGGACCTTTACCTGGATGACAATCTTATATCTTCTGTTCATGATCTGGAATCCTATTGGCTGCCTTTGCTCCAAAACCTCTCTGTGGCCCATAACAGGTAGGCCTCAATGGAGAATGGCTATGTCTTAAAACCTAGTGAGCTGCCTACCTAGGGCATCATACTGTAGGCGATTGATCTAGGTTGGCAGCTCATAATGTTTTGAGTCTCTTCCAATTCGTTTTTTTTTTTAACTTAACACTGTCTTACAGTTAAATTCTACTTAAAGGTAAAGTCATTGATTTATTTAAATAAAGTACGTTCTTATGTAAAATGTAAAATAAAACCTATAACTACACAGTGCTAAGATGTTTTATTGTTTAAAATGAGGGTTCACTTTCCCCTCAGTGTAACTCATTTAATTCCACTCTTGGATTTGGTGTCTCTGAGGACGTTGGATGCCAGTCACAACTGTCTGTTAGGTGAGCTTATGGGGTGGGGTGGGTCGACTCGACTGTGATATTTTTTTTTCCGGCTGCTTGAAAGGGTCTTTATTCTTGAATATGGTTGGATAACCTTTGTGACAAACCAACAATTCTTTAAAATTCTTCTCATATTTCCATAACTCATATCATTTATCCTTAAAGGGATAGTTCACTCAAAAATAAATTTCAGAAATTTACTCCCCTGTATAACCTGTATGCTGTTATTTTTTTTTTCTCCAATTTTCCAATTTTTTCCAATCCCATTTTCTTTTCATCACACATAACTATTATTAAACTTCAGACGACTTAGAATATAGTGCAAGTCAAATGGACACTTTATATCAGGGGTGGCGAAATCCAGCCCTGCAGAGTTCAGCTCAGAGGAAACAGTCTGACTGAGGTAAATCTTACACAACCAAAGAAACAAACAAGTTAAAAGATGAGATCATGACTTATCATGTCTGCAGCAGCAATCTCAAGATCATAATGAATAATCACAATTTTCCATTACTTTGATGTTTTGTCAGTATTTGGCTTTATGTTCTTATTCTATTAGAACAAGCCCAATTAGCCCAACTGAAATCAAAGATGTTTCACCACTTTTTTTTATTTATTTAGGAACATATTCCCAGTGTCCAGGAAATGCATAACTTGACAGTGTTCATTACATGATACCCATATATATATATATATA